GATGTATGTTCTTCAAGTAAAAGGTTTTTGTTTTGTTTTGTTTTGTTTTTTTACCAGTTTGGGCATCAGGTGGGTAAGGACCCCCATTTGCTCAGGGTTCTCTCTCTCAGCTGCATCCCTTCAATATCTTCCTGCCCTCTGAAATTCTAAGATTTTCCACTCACCTCATTACAGCAGCCCCTCTCCACTTGACTCCGTTCTAGTGGAGCTCTTCTTGTCTCCCCTGGGCCATCTTTGGCTCTGCTCACCATTTTTCTCCTTGTATGTTAGTGGTATGTCTGCATGGAGAGCTGCTTTTTCATGAATGATTTGAGGAGCTTATAACAATGTAAACTATAAGGCAACCACAAATAATAAGTCCTACCTCATAGGACGGCAAACATTTTAAAATGTAGTTGATTCCTATTATTTTCTGGTCACATATACCAAGGAATTGGCTGGACACCACTGCCTTTACAGGAAGGGGGAAGGTTTAGTATCACAACTCATTGGGTTAAGGAACTCAATTGTTTGTTAGGCTTGCTTTCTCTTTCTTTGTCTTCAGCATCAAGTCTTGTGGAAATGCTAGTGTATGCCTCCTACTCCGCTCCTGCATTGGATTTCCAATTGCTAGTCCAAGGGAATGAATAACGTCTGAGGGAGATAGGCAAGAGGAGGAAGTGCAGGAGAGAGACAGCCCCAGGCTAAGAATGGGTACCAGTGGGAAGGGGGAGGCTGGAGAGAAAGGAGCCTGGCAGGAGTGGTGTTAAGATGAACTACCTGCCTTAGTTAACAAGGCAGTTGTCTGGCTCAGATACTCCTTCCGTATTTCTAGTCCACTTCTGTGGGTCAGAGGTGTCATCGTTAAAACTGAATCAGATATTCAATGAGGAGAGAAAAATGGGCTTCCCAAAAGCTGAGGCCAGAGAACAGTGGGGCCATAATTGCCCGGAATCTTTGTCGCAGGCCAAATGGAGGCACTGCCCTGCACTGGCCTCTGTTGAACTGTGTTCCGCTTGCGGGTTGCCGCTTCCCCAACCTGAGTGGCTTGTTACAAAATAACGGGAAACTTCTGTGTTACATTCTCCCACACAAAATTTCCTTTTGCTTCTCAGTCACCGTGGGAGCCATTGTTCTCCCTGTCTCCGGAGGATGGTAGTTAGGTTGTTCAAACATGGCGGCTGTGTTGCTACTGTGATTGGGTTCAGTACCTCTCGCTGTGCAGTTACTATATTTTTTTTTATGCTGGAAACCCGATAGCCATGGAAATGAATGTCTTTTACATTATTTTAGAAGCTTCTCAGTAGTAGCAATTCTTCCTTTCCTCTTTTCTTCTCTCAATCTCACTATGATTCTAAGGATCTTGTGTCTCTTCAGAAATATTTCCAGAGGCCCACTGTATACCAGGTACCACTCCAGGCCATGAAAACACAGCCCTGAAGAGAGGCTGATCTGTTTGTGAGCTGCTTACCTTCTGGGATGTGGGAGATAAGAGAAGCATCTTACATAGGAGGAGTGGAAGGGGAGGGGGTAGGTGGGAAGTGGAGGGTGGGGTGGGGGACCTGGAGGAAAGGAGGGAGGAGAAACTGCAGTTAGTATGTAAAAGAGCCAGGAAATGGTGGCACACACGCCTTTAATCCCAGCACTCAGGAGGCAGAGGTAGGCAGATCTCTGTGAGTTCGAGGCCAGCCTGCTCTATACAACGAGTTCCAGGACAGCCAGAGCTGTCACAGAGAAACCTTGTCTCGAACCCCTCCCCCAAAATATTATTTAAATATATATTTATTTGTATATTATATCTTAATATAATATAATTTAACTTATATATTTTAATAGGGAAGCATCTTAGAATGAGAACCATGAATGTGTGCTAATGAGGGTACACCACAGACTGGGATGTAGAAGGCCATGCTGGTTCATGCGTGGTGATGAAAGTGGTCTTTCTGAGAAGGTCACTTCTGATGCCAAGAACTAGGTTGCTGAATTATTTGAGCAGGGATGCTTCCAGGCAAGTGCACCTCTTCTAGGCTCTGGTGTCAGCAAGTGAGTGTGAGAGCCAGGAGTAGCATCCCAAGGGCCCAGGGGCACCTTATCACCTTATCAATCAGAATCAGATGCTGCGGTGTCCTGTCTCCAGCTTGATCTGTGTCCAGGCTTCCCGGGTGGCAGCAGGTCCCCTCAACCATCAGCACCTTCATGCGCCTACTTTCCCCTGCCTGCCTGGGTGGTCACTTCCTGTCCCAGAGCTAGGCAGCCTGAGTTCGAATCTTGTCCTTGTTTCTTGACAGTTCTGCAGCCTTAAGCACGGTCCTTAACTGCTTTGTCTGTCTGTATATCATTGTCAGTAAAACGGACAACAGTTGTCTCCAGCTCAGAGAGTAAATGAGTTGTCTCCAGCTCAGAGAGTAAATGAGTTGTCTCCAGCTCAGAGAGTAAAGGAGTTATACTGGAAAGGCTTGACCCACACTTACAGAAAGTATGACACACACACACACACAGGCACGCACACACACACACACACACACACACACACACACACACACACAACAGAGAGAGAGAGAGAGAGACAGAGACAGAGACAGAGACAGAGACAGAGACAGAGACGACAGAGACAGACAGACATTCCCTTTACTGTGGCCAAGGGTGTCAACTTGTTTGCATAGATGAGAAGTTATTCCTATATTGTAAGTCCAGTTTTCTCTCCGAAGCTCCTCATCCTTCACAAGATCAGGGATGGGACCGGACTTGAATATGACCACTAAGATTTCACTGGCCTTGCCTTTCTCCATTCTACACTGAGGTACATTAGCCCCAAGGTTATGATTCCAGTCTGTTTCTCTCATGGTTCAGAGAAATGAGACTACTCAACCCCAAGTTCCTTCAGGGAAGGGAGAGGGCATCTACCCTTTTTTTTTTCTCCTCCTGAATCATATGTGATAATCCAGAATACCCCCCAAACTTGGATGGTTTGCTCTGTGATTAAACTGGAATTTCAATATAATTTGAGTGTATTTCCATCCTGCTTTTGTGTAGTCCCTTCTCAGTGCAGTCCTGAATTCTTCATGCTGTCCTCTGGTGACTACAGACCTCAGCAGCAACATTATTAGCTGCAATTGGATCTGCCTCAAGACCTTGGGGACAGCAGCGATCCCTTTTTGAGAAGGGCTAGAGAGTCCGCACACGTAAAGCACTTCGGAAGGAGACTGACCACTGCTCGTTGTGGCCTTGTCATTGAGACTGTTACTGTTGATAATGCTTCGGCAGACTCTTCCACCCCTGGAAAACCTCAAAAGGCAGGCAGACAGCAGAAACCAGATGCAACCCTTTCCATCAGAAGGAACTTGGGTGGCAGCTTTCTGTGATGCCCTGGCTGCTGCTTATTAAGGTGCAGGCTCTTGGTTTGGCAGGAGCAGTGCCCTTAGTGTTACTTCATGGTCCAATTACTTGCTCAGACTTTCCATCACCTGCGTAAATTGTAAGTTTCTTGAAAGCACGCCATCTTTCTGTGAACCTCATACTCTGTGCCATAGTAGATGTAACCCTGTAAATATTCACAGAATTAATTACTAACTGGTTAGTCCGATGGGTGGGCATGAGTCAACTCTTATTAAAATTCCTAAAGAGACAAGTCTTTTAGCTTGGTTCTTCTTTCCCTTCCCTTCCCTTCCCTTCCCTTCCC